ACCTCAATATCCACGTCTACCCCTGGATGCCCCTACACCCAATTTAATTTATCAAACATAGACTATGGCCGATCAATTTAAATCGATGTCTTCAACTATTAATGAATATACAACAAGTAGTTTAACTTAAATTAATACTACTTAGCGATATATAATTACTGAACTTATACAAAATGAAATCACTTCTAATTAGCAGGAATCAATATTATTTCGACCTGGAATTGAGATATTCCATGAGAAACAAATTCAAAAAACGGAGCGAGTTAGAATATGTATATGACACATAACGAATTATATTCACGAAAAAGCATTCTGGAAAACAAGTTGAAGCATTTGAACGGATACTTATCAATAAGTAACATACTCTTTATTATGACGAACAAGTTTTGTATCCAGAAAAATACCTTCTCAAAAGAGTTGTTGTCGTTTGTTCAAGACTGATCTGTTCCTTTAGTGGTAAAACTTCTACATTATTCGGTTGGCATTTGTTTTTATCTATCAAAGGAAGAAACCTATAGTGACACCACGTTTGTTCCAATTAATACATGTAGGGTTTTTTGCCGAAAGTCTCATCGTCGAATAAAACATTACCGAAATTCTTATTCATGAGAAATTTCGATGCTTATATTGATGGCATCTATTTCGACAAACAAACAAGGTACATAATTAATAACCAATAAATTCATATATTTCATCATTGTATTATTTCTTGTTTCGTATCATAATTAAAAATACTGTAGTTCGACAGTACAATTAAAATTATAAAATAAAATTTCATTTTTGTCTTTTATTCCTTAATTCTCTCGTATTAGCAATATTTAATAAATTGGTTGTAGATGTTCAAATTTAGATTTAGATTACAGTATAAATAATATAATCATATTTTCGATGAAAACATAGATCATTAAGGACATGAACAGTAACCGTAATACAAGAATTATTCAGAATAGAAGAACCACTGCAGTGTGGGTATCGATGTGGGTCTACGTTTGAGATTTTATTAATAATTACTCACGCCCACCTTCGAGTTTTTCTTTCTTTTTTATCAGTGTTTTATCCAGCATTGAGACGGTGCTCCTTCAAAAGAGCAAATCTGGATAAAAACATTGCTTTTTATTCATTAAAAAAATCAGACTATTTGTTAAAATAATTAAGAAAATAACGAAATATGTTTTGTTTTTCTATATACATAATTACGAATATTCTCTACAACAATTCTAAATCATCAATGATCATTTAATAATTAACCAATTTTTTCAGTCATATATTCATAAAGTTCATTAGCTAATATATCAGAAAATTCAGCTGCTACTTGTAATGCAATATCATGTTCATCAGGTTCATGTTTTCGACGTTCAGCTTGTTCAATTAAATGTGAAATAGCTGCTTGATGTAAATATGTTGATAGAGATTTAATATGAAAAATTTTAACAAACATTGGATAATCATATTGTTGTTTCATATCATTAATGCTAGTTTGATCTATACAATAAATATAATAGATTGTATTAAAAAATAGAAGACGATTATCAATAACTAGGTGTTCAGATTTTGGTATAAAAAAATGTAATAAACGAATATTTGTATAACGTGATGAAACATGTTCTAAACATTGAATTTTATTTGTAAATCGACAAAATATATGTGAATCAAATATTGTTTCGAAATTTTGATGTTCATCTTGAAGATCAAGAAGAACAAGAAGAGAAGAATTCATAACAGTCATTTATCTAGAATTAGAAAAAAAAATGCACGAACACAAGACAAAAAAAAAACATTAATTTTAGTCGAATATTATTTATTCATCGAATACGTCTTTTTTCATTGAGAAAAACAGATAAACGTTTATATAATGTAATACCTTGTTCAAAACATTTACGTCCATTGTCTTTATCACCTTTTTCAATATACATATCACCGGTTTTTTTATATTCATTTGCTGTATCGATTGCCCATTGAACCATAAGACGTTGTTCATTTTCAAACATGCCTTTTATTTTTGGATATCGTCGAAAAAAATTACTACGTTCATCATCATCTTCTGACGGAATACCTCGAATATATATGTAATAAACATTATCTAATTCTAAAATCTTATCTAATAAACAATTTTGTTCATCTGATAATATATTAGAAATATCAATAAAACTTATAATTTGCTCACAATGTTGTAATTGATTAAGAAAAGCTTCTTTTTGATCGAATATTTGTAAACGATGATCAGTTAATTGATTAAGAATTTGAGGTATTTGGGATTCTATTATAGAAGATAATTGAAGAAATAGAAGATGACTATTCTTAGTTGGATCAAGTAGAAGATGAGACTCAGCTGATGATATATCACATAAATTAAGATTTGTTTCGGCTTCTTCTTTCCATACGGTATTTGGTTCATTCGATTCTGAAACTAAAATACAAATTGTGTCTATAATGATTCATTTAAAAGACAAATATACATTCTACAGATGATTTGTCATTAATGTCAACAATAGTGGATTGTTGTTGTTTATCAAGTTCATCATTATCACAAGAACATTCGATGTTATTTGTATCTTCATGTAATTGAGATGTTGGAGCAAAAGAAGAAATATTAGATATTAAATTAGATTTTGTGACATTAATTTTAATTAAATGAATTGGTGATAAATTATTATCGGGTATTAATTCAATATCACATGGTGTTTCTAATTGTTTTTTTATATTTATTAATTGTTCTTTCCATTGATTAAGTTCAATTTCTGTATAATCATCAGTTTCACGTCCAATACGAATTTGTTCACTAAATTGATTAAATATAGTTTTCATTTGATTATTTGATTCATCATGTATTTGTCGAAGTTCATCACGAACTTTTTGAGCATTTTGTTGAATTTTAATTATTGTATCGTGTTCCCATACATCGATTAATGAAAATAATGGATGTTCTTGAGCTTTTTCATGCTGATTAAAAATACGTTGTAAATGTTCACATTGTTGTTGAATACTAGTAAGTTGTGTTGTTAATTCAGCTCGATGATTGGGTGCATGTGTAATACAAAATGATTTATGACATCCGTCACATGGAAATATCCATCTTCTAACGCCACATATAGAACATGAACTTTTTTCATTATTACTTGAAGCCATTGAAACTTATTTCGTTTCTTTTTTGCAAGTAATCTAGTCGAATAGAATTTTTCTCGTTGATTTTTATTTGTCAGAACTCTTCGAAAAGATATAACTTTATGCAAATGTGTTGTTAAGTAAGGAAAAAAAACAAATATTTACAACGATAGAAAGCATTAAAAAAAAGTAAAGAACAGACAAAAAATCGAAGAAATGCTTTTTTATTTGTTGTCAAATATGTTATAATGAGTCATTGTTGCATGATTTGTATTCATTTTTTGAAATTAACAGTTTCAATACAGATTTGATCAAATTTTTCTAACCATACACCAAATCCTGGACGTATACACTCAGAAATAGAGTATCTTTGTAGTCGTGGCGCCAGTAAAAATTTCTAGAGTTAGTGTTGTATTCAGATTTTCTCTTTCGGAGGACCGATTTATAATCCCCGGGAAGGCGAATATCGATCTCTGGATTTATGGCAGGGGGACGCTTTTTCTCCTATTCTATACAGTGAAATAAAAAAATAATCAGACACTGTTGCTACAAGGCAAATAGAATTGAAGAGGCACTATCTGGCAGTAGGCTGTCTATTGTAGGAGGAACCGGGTCACAGTAGATTTCATTCTTCCTTCGATCAACACTTCTAGCACTTCAAGAATGAAAGCATTTTCTGCCTAATTTTTCAGCCACCTTTTCTCATCTCTAGAAAACAGATCTTCAAACTAAAATAACTAGCGTTATAAGATTAATTGTTTAGATTGTTTAAAGAGAAAATAAAAATAAAACTTAAATGCTAAAAACAAAAGGTCACGATACAATTACTGTGTATCAAAATATATAAAACAATAACATGCAAGTATTTTTGTCTTGTTTTGTAGATATTTTCTTTTATTTTGCTAGACTAGTTCTTTATAATTTATAAAACTTATTATTTCAGAAAAAAAATTTGTTAAATTATATTAGAAATTTTATTTTAACTAAATTTTGTAATTTAATGAATTTCAATGATAGATTTATAAGGTTTATTTAAATATTTGATTATAAATTATATGTATGTATCAGAAAATAATGATCAACTATATATAAATATTAGTTCTTTTTTTTTTATTGATAAAGAATGTTTTCGTAATAGGCTGTACATTAGATAAATATATTTTTAACAATATATTTATTTGATCGGATCTATTAAATGATAATTTGCTCGAAATGCAAGAAAACAAAAATGATAATTGTCAATGATTGATGATAGTAATAAAACGAAGAAGAATAATTGAAATATTTGATTGTATTAAAATTGAATCAAAAAATTAAAAAATTCCATGAGGTAAGGAAAAGAAAAAGATCTTGATTGTACTTTTATGAACATAATAACTCCATAAATTAAACAAAAAAAAAATATAAAGTTCAAGGAAGAAATATTTTTTCAGATCAATATTATTTGTTAATTTATTCATAGATTCAAATGTTAAAATTTGAAATTATAATTTCTTGACTATAATAAAAAAAAAAACCATTAAGTCTTACATCCTAAAAACGTTCATTTTGTAATTAAACAATATTCAAATAATATGAATCATACACTACATCTTGAAGATAATGTTGATAAAAAACCGGAAGACAAAAAAACATATGTAAACTAACGAAACGATATATTCGTATGTCATTGACGAAGATGATGTATCTATAACATATGCTAAAGATTAATTTTCCTCGTTGATATTATATGCTTATCAGTAAAAAAAAAAAAAGTAGATAACTATTGTTAATCAGTATGAATGTAACAAATATTCACAGAAATATAATAATCAGGAAATATCATCAGATTTTATCTTTCGATTTCAACGATTATTTTTTGCTGATAGATACTGCATAGTGTTCTCATGAAAATCCTAAAAGGAGTTGACTAAAGCAATCGAATTGTTTAAATCTCAAAAGAAACTCAACATCGAAAGTTACTGCCAAAATCTCGACCCATGGTTGTCTGCTTAGGAATATCGTGAAAAGTCTATTCTTTTCCAGTTGAAAGAGCAAAGTGTGAACTTCAAAAAAAACATAGGACAATTTTTTTTTTGGCATTAACGTTAAATAAGAAAAAGGTTCAATGTCAAACACCATAAAAAGAGCAGCTCTGGTAAAATACTTTTTTCCCTAGATTTTTTCTTGAAAGTCCAATATATGAAAAAGTAGTCTTGATATAACTTTATCGACTTTAATACTTTAGGAAAGTCCCTTAGGAATTATTTAACAGTAAACAGTATGTATATTTTATGCCTTGGTTTTGATAGAAAACAATAGTTTGCATGGAAAAAATAGTACATTAAGAAAAATTCGTTATTTTCAGAGTTAAAACAGGATAGTTAAGATTGAAAATAATTTTAATTTGTAGATAATTACATGCTATTTTAGAAAAAGGACGACGATTTGTTCATTATCTGTAAATTATTTTTCATGTCTTTTTCGAAATTAATGAAACACTTGTCAAATACTTTGATTGTAAAATGGATTAAAACGTAAGTTATTGAAGAACATAGAAGTTGCAAGAGCTTTTTTCGAAGACGTTTGGTATCGAATTTCTTTTCTTATTTCAAGTTAATACAAATAAAAACAAGCTTGTTTTCAATGTTTTTTTTATGTTCAACCATTGATCTTTCAATTGGAAAAATGTACTCTCTATGATGTTTCTGAACAGATAACCATGGGTTGAGATTTCGGTAATTAGTTTTGCATCGCAAATGATATATCATTTTACGCATTTTTTTTTCTTGTGAAACACAAAAATGAATACAAATATGATAATGATGATATTTATTGATGAGATTATTGTTTTAACATTATTTATAAAATGTTCTTCTTGTAATTCAATATTTCATCTTCAGTTATATTCGATTTTTACCTTGATTCTCAGCTTGAGATCAAGTTTCATTAATTCAAAATCTCGTAATAGTACCTCTCAAATAAAACAATTCTCTGTAATCGAACATCAATGAAAATCATTTAAATTATTTCATTAAAATTTCTTATATAAATACCGTGCGAAAATTATGTATATTTATTTAAATTAAAGAAGAAAAAAGCGAATGAATCTTTCAAACTAAATATGAAAAAAAAAAAGAAAGAAACTTTAGTTGTATCTAATTGAAGCTTGTTCATTAGATAAATTAGCTGTAATATAAAGTTTTCCATCGGCATGATATTGTGATGATAAACTACGTAAATCTGTATTTGATGGTAATGTTATTTGTTTATAAAAATAAGCCCGTGATGATGTTGTTGGTGGTCGATTAACACTATGTTCAGCTTGAACAATAAGATCATTACCATTAACAGATACTTTTATTTCACTCGGATCATAATTTTGTACATCAAGTTTCATTTCAATACGATTTTGACCACGATCATCCGTGAATACTTGTGGTTGAAAAGCACTTCGATAAAATGCATCAGTATTGAAACCTGATGTAAATAATGATGGTCGATAATTATAATCATATGTCTTATTATCATTTAAATTATTGCCAACACGTCGTGAATATTCACGTACTTCAACATTACGTGATGATGTTGGTGGTATTATACTACTACTACCAATACTAAGATTTGTACGAAAACGATCTTCATCAAGACTTTTAGCTATTGATGGACTGCCAGAACGATGATGTTCAACTTCATGTGATTGTTGTACACCTGTTGTTGGACTTAAACGTTTATGATGACTTTCACGATGTGTTTCACTAAATTTTTTTTCATATACAGTACCATTATTACCAGTTGATGTTGATGGATATATTGTTTTTGGTTGAATATCATCAGTTGTTACATGATATGTATATGATGGATTATAATGACTTGTCGATGAATATAGATTATCACGACCTTTATTAATATCATCATAAGTTGAATAATAACGGGGACCTAAAATAAATATTTTATAATATATATGAAAATAAAATTAAGGTATTTTTTGTTTTACTTGAACTTCGTTCATAAGTATTACCACTACCACCACCACCACCACCACCAAGTCTTCTTGTTGATGTATATTCAGTTGAACTTTTTTCTTGAGCAAATCGAGGTGGTGTACGATAAGATGTATCATAATTAGATATATATTTTGAAGATGTACGACCATCATCAATAATTACATTTGAATGACGTGATGGAAAATCGATTTGCATTGTTATTGATGTTGGAAATGTTACCCGTGAGCTACAAAAATAAAAAAATAAAAAAATAGGTTAATTAAGATTTTTTTTACCTGTATGTATCGATGTCACGAGGCAATTCATAAGATTTTTCGATAATCTTTTTTGCTGTACTCTATAGAATATAGATAAATATTTAGATAAAAACAAAATAAGAATACGAAAAGTTGAATGAAAATAAATAATTTTTACTTGATTGCCACTTTCAAGATGTTCACCATAAACAATAAGTTTATTACCATCAACACGCATATTAACCTAATTATAATGCGGAAAAATGTGGTTTTTTTTTTATAAAGGTAAAATTTTTAATATTGACGTACTTCATTTTGGTTAAATCCATCGATGTTGATCGTAACTCGAAATTTTTCAGCTCCACTTACAGGATCATTAACCCATTGTACTGCTGTATCTTGACTTCGAAGACGTTCTTGTACACGTTGTTCGTCCATTGGGCTATTGAAATTACTTATTGAATGTTGAATAGGAACACTCACTCGTGAAGTATATGGCATACTATATCCATCATTTCCGCCACGATTTTCTTCATGATATGTTCGTGATTCGGAAAAACGTTGTGATGACATGTTCTTTGTCTTCTTCTGCTTCTTTTTTAACTAAAATACAAATCTAAAAGAGGCAACTATCTTTTTCTTATCGTTTATATATATATATATATATAGATACATATATATGTGTAAGGGTATGTGTATTTTATATACGTCCTTGCATCTTTTTTTCTTATCGAATAAACAAAGGTAAAAATAAAAAGTCACAATAATGATACGATGACAATGATAGATTGATTTTACCACTGGTTGTCTGTTACTCAATTAGCAACGTTTATATAGGTATGCAAACACGTATAGTTTGCGATTGACTCTTTATTAGATACGGTCTTTTTTTCTTTTCCTTTTTTCGATGAAGAAACAAGCCAAAAAAAAAATTGGACGAGTACACCTTACCGATAGCGCACATAATATTTGTGCTATGTATGAATAATAGTAAAAAAAAACAATCTCTTTTGTTTATGCTTTACCAAAGACTCTAGATTGGGGTGGTATTCTTGCCTATCAATCTTGTCCAACATACACCAGATGCATGTACATAAACACGTCATCAATAGTGGCGCATGTTTTTCATTGATAATAATTGCTGATGTATATACATACATATATATGTAAAGATACATAAATATATACATATTTATTGATCGACAAAAAAAAAAAGAAAAAGAAAGAACTATGTAGGCGATGTGGTTATTATGAGTAAAAGATTGAATTTCAGTTAAGATTAGAAGTTAGTCATACGTATGATTCAGTCAAAGAAAAAGATAAATAAGAAAAATCATGGCGAAAAAAAAACACGAAACCAATGCTTCTTTTCACCCTTTTCTTTTTCACACTTGTATACGAAATATTGAGTAGTACAAAAAAAGAAAATGACTCAATGACTTTTTTTGGCTATAAGACAGTATATTTATAAATAGTATTCATTTTTTTCCCTTTTTTTTCTTTTCGCATTTTTTTCTTTTATATTTTTTGTTTTTCTATCATTTGTCAAAAATATCATTAAACTATGACATATATATGCGTATCTCTTTTTTTCTTTTTTTTTTTGGTCAAGGATGATGGTAACATTTGTATAATTAATCGTTTCAATGGATTCGCGAAATTTCGAGAACAAAATAATATTTTCATTTTTATAAAGCTCGTTTCTTATTATAAATATCAACAGATATTTGTGGAATAATAAAACAAATATCGTCTTCTTTTATAAAATACTGCAAATGTTACTCACTTTTCATGCAATGATTCATTTGCTTAAAAAAATGATTTCAAATGTTTTTTTATTTATTTTTCTTTAAAAAATTAATTAAACAAAAGAACACACTTAGTTTTTTTTTCTTTCTTATGACAGTTGTTTTTCATTGATTCACAAACTTAATAAAAATAGCTTAATCTTCCTTTCATTTAGAAATAAAAATTATCAAATAATTAAATTATTTTTAGTAAGTTAACAATCCTTTTCTTACAGCATGAATATATCAAAGGAAGCAAAACAAACGCACACATACACACGAGTTATTTTTTTTTAATATCAAAAAATAAATAGGAAAAAAAAATCACAGTTGGTTGAAAATCTTGAATAGGAAGACGAAACAAAAAAAAAAATACTCAATATTATTCAAATATATATGTATATTATATATTAATTGTTATAGTTTTTCTTTCACGTAGTTGTGGATTCTGATAGAGCACGTTGTAATTGCTCTTGTAAGGAAAAATTAATTGATAAATTACGATGACGATAGAAAAGAACATAAGCATCAGATCGAACAAGATCTTTAACATTTCCAAGTGATGAAACAAATTGATCATCAAAATGACGCCAACCTATAAAAAAAAATAAATTCTTTTTTTTTTATTTTACTTTAAAAAATCGTTTTTCTTTACCTATTTCTGTTTTTGCTGAATCATTAAAAGCTAAAAGTCTTGCATAAGAAGTATAATGTCCAAACCATGCCGAACCACGATGATTAATAATTCCATAGAGATCATAACGAGATTGAGGTGCATCATCATATTGTTGATTTTCTTCAGATATTGATGAACAATATGGTGCCATATTGAGATCACTAAAAAGAATAATTTCTTTTTTAAATCGTTTGTTTTTTTTTTTATTTCTCTTATACACACTGAATTGGAAATTTAACTGTTGTGTCAATTTTTTCTCTTGAACTAGACATATAACCAAATGATGAACAATGATTATATTTAAATCGTTTAAGATGTATAATTAATATAGGTGGTAAACGCCAAACAGACATTTTTTTTTCAGCTTGAATATGTTCTTTACAATGTGGACAAAACCATTTATCATCTGGACCTAATACTTCAGGTTCAATAAATAATTGAAGACATTGTTGAAGTGTTACATCTTGATCTTGAAACAAAAAAGACAAATTATCAATTTAAAAAGAAAAAGAAAATTTCTTATAAACCTCCAGCAGAAGAATTAAAAACACTATCATCTTCAATAAGATCTTTAATTCCACTACGATGTCTTGATGGTGTAACACGTAATGATGCTTCGAATGTATTATCTGTAAACCAATCAATTGAAAATGTTGTATAACAATGTAAAATACGATCACCATCAGAACCTGAAATAAACAGAAAACAAAAAAGTTTTATTTTCGATCTTGTCATTTAATAAATCACTTACCACATTCAATAATTGGTTGAAAATTATTAATTGTATTACTTGTTGTTTGAGGCATTATACGAAATAGTGGTTGACTACCATATATATCATCAAGCATATCAAAATCTTCCATACTACTATCACTGCTAACAGTTTCAACATTTGTAATCATTTTTTGTTCCTCATTATCATTATTATTTGTTGATGTACTTTTAAGTATTTTTTCTTTTCCATCATTTTGTTGATTAGAACGTTGTTTATATTTATTTGCTTTAACAAAATAATCACCTATACGAACTATAGACCATGAATCAGATGATGAAAGTGTACTTTTTATTATTGATGGATCCATCTCTTCGATATCACTAAAGCTAAACAAAAAAAAAAAAAAAGAAGATATTTACATGTGTTTTCCACAACGAGCAATTGAGAGAATAGAAATTCAAAGAAAAATGACTCGTTAAAAAGAAAATTATTACATAAACAACTTAATAAATAGTTTCTTTATTATTGCATCCAATAGAATTCCATAGATCAGACAGACATGAAATTTTTTTTTAACTTGCAAAGACTTTATTTTCTGTTCAATATGACTTGATTATCTCTCAAATGTCAATTTAATCTAAAAAATCACTGTAAAAGACCTTTAGTCTATATATATATGCGTAGAAAATGTTGTTTTTTAAAGAAAACTTATGCATTGTATAACGTTATTTTAGCTTAACTGTCAAACATTCGCCCTAATGCTACATAAATATTATGGACGGTGAAACATTGGATGAACGTTTGATTGAATATGGAGTTGCGAAAACTTATGCAAGTTCATTATATTAAACATATGTGTCCATCAAAGCACTTGATGTATTTATAGATTTCTCAGGAATGTTTTCTTCTTAGCGGCGTCTTTCAACGACTAATGCTAATAAGAGAAACAAAGACTTTTATGTCATTCAATAATCTATATGTCAGAGTGCATGTTGTCCTCTATAAGCTATTAAAGAGTACACTGACAATTTTGTCACCTAATGTCCTCTGGATGCTCACAGTATGACTAATACTTCCAAAGTTTTCTATAATCGAGGCTTCGATAAATATAAATGTCACATCAGGAGCCATTCATTCTTGAATGAATAGAACAAAAGAATATGAAAGAACAGATGGTATCATTATTATTATTTGATTTTTATTTTTAGTAAAAACAACACTCTAAGATGCATCTCATAAATAACTAAATAACTTAAAAAGTCAAGAACATTGTATTCATATATTCGACCGCAAATAAAGCCTCTTGTTTCTCGATGAATTAATTTCAAAGAATAACTCAAAAGTTTCATTGTGAATAAACTATTGGTGTATTAAAAGGATAGTCATTGATTACTTTTTCTTTGAACTTCTTTTTGACAATTTTTAATTAACAAATATATAATAATTAATATAAAATTAGAGAACATGGTATCTTCAAAAAGATACATATACAAAAGAATTCTTAAATAAAAGAAAGACTCTTGATTCATGTTGTTTCTCTATCTGCTCAAAAGATTAGTAAATCTATATAGTTTCAATGAAAATGCGTATAAAATAGCAAAAGAAAACCTATGAACAGTATAGAATTCTTTTAAATTGCATTTTTCTTTTTCCAATAAAATATTTTCATTCATCATATGAAAATTAATGGATTCAAAGAATTTCATTTACCTGTCTTTATCATCATCATCATCAATAACTTTTCCATAATCATCAAAGTCACTATAATCTCGATTAAAATCATCAAATGATCGTCGAGTTCGTTTCGGATGTTCGATATGAATATCTACACTTCGTCTGTAAAAGAAACAAAAAAAAAATATTTGTTATTTTTTGTAATAATTAAATCATTTTATTTTATTGATTTTATAACTTACTTAGCATAAATACTTATTTGTTGAAATACATTTTTACATGTTAATTTCGATTCTGGTAATGAAATAATAAATGGAAAACCAACAGTTTCATAATTGTCTGCTGAACGAGATTTACAAAACTCTTTATGTTCCATTGCATGAAATTTTAGACATTCTCTATAGAAAATCAATAGCAGATAGAAAACAACAAACGAAGCAAAAGATAATCAACTAACTCATCACAATACGATACTTGATAACAATGTTTACAAAATATCGGTGAACTAACAGGTTTTGGTGATGCTTGACAATAACCGCATGATGATATATAATCATGTAATTTAAATATACGTTGAAAAAATGTTAAGTGAATAATTTTTTCATTATTACATTCAGCACTTGTTAATGTTTCAGTTCTAGAAGAAGAATATTATTAGAAAAAAAAAAACAACATTTCTTTATTCAAATTATTTGTCATATAAAATTTTCATTTACATAAATAGAATTTAATGATAGATGAAGAAAAAAAGACTGTCAAGTGTTCATTACTTTCGAATTGATATTTAGAATAAGTGTCAGTGTAGAAAAACAAATTAAAGATTCACCTCTCGGTGAAGGTGAATCTGTACAAGAGCAGATCAGCTTCATGCCTGTAGGCATAAGATTTTTACCAATATAAATGTTGAACTGATTATAAAAACCACTTTCAGATGAATAATATTATTTGATGTGCTTAGCTGCTAACGAAATCTTATTACCATGATCTCTTCGAATAGAGCAATCTTAAGACCAATAGAAGTTTTGAATAATATGATAAAAGGAGGTATCTAAGATAGATTGGTGACCGGTATCCTCTCTGTCTCTCGAAACTATGACTATCTTCAAATTAGTTAATTTTGTTTATACCCTAACAAAAAAATATATTGACTTAAATTCCTTGATTTGTTCGTGTGATTGAAAAGCTCAAGTATAATTTAGAAATAAAAGTCTAGGCGGAAATAAATCAATCAATTTTTTTCATATTTCATTAAAACGGAATCAACATTAATTTTCTTTATTTGTAAATGATCTAATAAAAATTTCTGATAAAATTTTTGTATGAAAATTTGAAAACTTACATATAAGTCATATCAAAATTACTCCATGAATAAGTAGTTGCTGTAACTCGATCTTCATCTTTAAGATATTCTATAGAATGATTATTTTGAATTTTATATGCTAACATCTAAATACATAATCAATGTACGAAAAGAAAAAAAACAGAAACCTATTAAACAACTTTATCAACTGGTAAACCACATTTATTAGATAACCGACGTTTCAATTCAGCAACTGAACCATCTGATGACATAACAACACGATACTAACATAATAATATATATATATATATGTATAACGAAATTCTTTTTGATAAAATAAAACAAACTTTAGTTGGTGATTTTTCATCATTTCGAAATGAAACAATTGTATCAACACATACATGTTTTGGTAATGGTACAGATATTGATGTAAATGGATCAAATGTAACTGATTCCTAAAATAATATTCGAAATGTGTCTTTATTTTTGTTTTGTTTTTTTTAACAAACTTTATGACATTGTGGACATTTAGTTTTTGATTTAAATTGTCCAGTAAATAATTGAACAATTATAGAATCATTACGACTTAAATAACCACGCCAATAATCATCAGCAACAATCTATTGACACAAAAAAGAAAAACTTATTCAAATAGTACTTAGGATATACCAAAAGTAATGATATTGATATTATAATACTTTACAGATAGTCCGAAGAAAACTTTTCTTGACACATATTTAACAGTTCAAAGATTGTTCTATATGTCTTTCATATTTCATTATCCTTTTAATATGAGTCAGATCAGTTAGTATTTGTAATTCGCTTATCGTAATATAACAATCGTCATTAATCACACAGCTACAGATATTTATCAAGTCAAGTTTTGTCTTCAATCTTTTTGAGATTTTTAGGAAATTATTTTCGTCATCTTTTAACTCGTTTACGAAGTGAAATCTAGTCACCGAATATAGAAAATAGGTGGTTATGAATAAATTTTGGTTGTGTGTTTCAAGATAATGAACTTTTCTAACTTTGATTTTGATACGTTACATATATGTACAGTTACTCTAGACACCGTGAAAAAATTATCGTTAAAGACCTTTGTTCAGAGAAGTTATGAGTAAAAACCTGGTGTTAACGGTATGACACGAACAAAAAGACACCGACTTTCACTTCATACATTTTAGTTATCAATATAGTATTTTTGAAATCCAAATATTACATTCTGTATAAAACTCCTGAGGCAACAAAATCTCTATCTAAAGTTTTCTATGAGCACGGCTAGTTTTTTCGAAACAAAAATTGATTTACGCTTCGTTACCGATGTGACGGAGTGTCAGAAATAATGCTCTTATATACGAATGAGAAGTTCAAAATGAATTCCAAACGGTGTGAATCCTTCTTCAGAATCTCTAGAAAACGGTTTTTTTTAAGAGGGCGATTGTGATAAAAACTTCATCATAGATATGATTCATGTCGTAAAGTCTATCCTAAACTTTTCGAATGTTTCTCGTATGTTTAGAGAGATATTCGTTAATTACTTTTTAAGTTTATGATATGTTCGATTTTGAGAAATCGTTCTTGAGTTTTCGACAAGACATAATAATGACCGTGTCATTACTTTTGATATACCCTAAGTAAAGGTATATATATATATTTACCTCATCAGGTCGATTTTCATCTTCTATTGGTGGTACTAGCGGTTTATTAATTACTCGATTAAGATCCTTAAATAGAAAAAGCTATATTTAAATTCTCTATTCTCTATTTAAACTCTCACTTCATGAATAGCATCAAGTAAAATCGTTAATAATTCTTGTGCATCATGTTGTCCATTACCAACAAATTCTTGATGTCTTTTTGCTGCATAATCCTACGATGATGAACGATCAATATTACAAAATAAATCTGATGAAACTAACTCGTAATTGATTTGCAATTATATAGCTATATTTTCCTGCCCATAAATCTTTAATTATGTTACCAAATTCTTCAGCCATTGCACCTTTCATACCAAGTGGATTTACTCGATTTATTTCAACAGAATAACATAATTCTATTTAAATTTAAAAAAATACATATTTTCACATGAAAATTGAAAAGAAATTTTTTTACGTAGAAAATAATCTCGTAATTCACGTGTATTTGATAAACATTGTACAGCAGCATTCATAAAACATGAATTAGCTGGATTATGTATACCAGTATAGCCACTTAATGGTGGTGATGATATGCTTGGCATATGCGTCATATCTTTTACATTAAATGATAATCGGGGAGAATTTCTATCTAACTAAATTAAGAAAAATATATATATGAAATTAATTTCAAAATTATTCTACCATTCTATTATTGGATAGAAGTGATGATGAAGGAAAAGCTAGGAAAAAAATTACATACAAAGTATATATAATCGAATTTATTTATTAGGTAAAGAGTATCAAATTACAAAATAGAAGAAATGTTTAGACAAATATTTTTATCAACAAAACATAATAAATCAAACTTATAATAAAAACAGATATGTATTTATAAGGGTGTTATTCTATAAGGACTTGTAAAACTAGAGATATGACAATATCAGCCGTATAAAAGGCTACGCTTTAAATGTGACAATTCACTATTGACTTCACATTTTGGGCATAATACAGAGAGCTTCTAGAATAGAATCATCCTAACAAGAGTCGAATCTACAACCCTTCTCAGCATAGTTATGTTAATCTTGCTGGATTTTTATTACAAATAGATGTATTGAAAAGAAAATTCCATAAAAAATTTTTGACCTGAAATTGTGTTTATAAATAAATTTCAGAATTCTAAGAATATTCGACCAGTTATTGTCATAACTATTACTTTTCTCCTGAACTACTTACTATTCAACGTTCAACAACGCCCGATTTTTCTGAGGGTTCATGAAATCTTATTAACCACCGAACATTAACTATTTCAAGAGGAAAAAAAGTAATCATTTTTAACTGAAACTTCTAGAATATTCCGCAGCTCATGAGATCAATTGATAAACAAGATTCAGACTAAAGATCATTTGTTGAATACACTCTGTTGTGATAAAAATCTAGCAACACTTTCGTTATTCTGTTAAGAAGGCGTAGGAACTAGAATTTTCTTGGAATTATCTTAGACTAGAGGTTCTGTTTATATGCCCAAAACTTGAGTTCAAAAGTTCTAAATTACTTCAGATGATTTCTTTGTTAATGACAAAGTTTGTATGAGTTTAGTTTGAACATAAATAAATGAGAACATAGAAGAAAAATCATCAATATAAATGTGCCGAAATAGTATTGATATCTGTTTTTTAAAATAATTCACATAAAGCCTAAAACATAGTCTCAAGCATTTCTACTGATTAGTCCTCATTAAGAATTATCTTTTTTTCGTCATCTTTTCATATATTTACTTTTGCTTTTTAAAGATCATCAATTATATATTATATAATCTTCTCCTGACTTTAGAATTTTTCATTCAATATTCTATCACAAGAGAAATCCATAATAATAACTTCTGATTGTAAAATTTTGCATTATAGCAAACAAAATCTTAATAAAACCTTATCAAGATAATTTCTACTCAATTTACTTTATAAATTAAAACTTACTTATATTTGAATTTGTTATCAATAGTGGATGTGTTGATAGTGATGATGAATGTATCATTGAACGAGATTCAGAATATTCATTTGGTTCAAGTTGATTCCATCTAACACCACAATCATTTTCCTTCATAAGTTTAATTTCAATATATGTTGATGTCACTACAAAGGTACATTGAGCAGGTTTAACACGTTGTTTAACACGAACAAATAATCTAATTGGCATTTTGGATGGTATTGAATGAAGTTGAAGAAATTGTTCATCGCTAAAGAAAACAAACATACAATGAAAAAATAATCATTCAATTCATCTAATTCTCTTCGAACTTTGTACAAAATTTAGCCGTAAAATTAGTTTCAGTAAATTGTACTTGACAATTATAAACTTCGTTTATATAAATATATGATATAGCAGTGTTAGGCGTTGATTCAATAAATTCAGTTTTTAGTTTTTTTATTGATAACTCATAAGACTCTTGCTGTTCAATAGACGAATGTTTTTCTTGATTGTTCATATCTTTATTTAGATTATTTCGTTCTGGTATAATTGGGGTTGATTGAAGACTATGAAGTTGTGGCCACATTTTATGTGCTTGTTTATATAAACATAAATTAATTGTTGTTTGCGTTCTATTTTCATTTATCTCAGTTTTAATTTCGGTTTTGTCGGAATAAATATGTTCATATAATTCGAATTTCCATTTTTCACCAGCTAGAATGAAGATTATGTTTATATTCTTTTTCTAATATTGTTTAATTATTTGTGGCTTTTTTTGCCATACCTGGTGTAGAAACCTCAAGAGAATCACTATCAGGAAGAACCTCAACATCTTTTTGTTCAAAAGCTCCTTTTGCATGAAAATTTAAAATAACAGAATCATTTGAATCTTGAAATTTGTACGAATTAAATTGAAGTTCATCATCTATATCAGGCGACATGTTTGGGTTTTGATCTGAAAAAAAACTAAGTTTCTTATATTTTTATAGGTTTGAGTCATGATTTATGAAGAAATTCTATTGTCATGTTGGAAATTTTCGAAAGGAAGTAAGAGAGAGAACAGGAAAGAAAGAAAGAATTTAAAATGTATTTGATTAGTTTAATTTTCATACCAATGAGAGAATCATTTTTGACTATTGATTTTAATGTGATAGATATCAGTAATATACAGGATAGAGCATCAAATATTGTTACGTAAAAAAATTGAAATATCTTCAGTATAGCTCATTCAAATGGGTTGAATTTTTAGTTAGTACTAGAAGTTTATTCGAAGTTTCTTTTTTCACTTTCATACTTGTTGTTGTCAAGTAAATAAAACACGTCTATAGCGCTCAAAAATAATTTTCAATTGGAATCTAAGAGAATAAAAGAAGAAATCAAAATAAACGTTATGAATGATATTACAGTGAAATACACATAGAGTAAATTTTCAACATTAGTAACGTAAAAAGTCAACAATGGCAATAGTTCGAATTTTCAAACATGAAATATTGATTTTTATAAGGAAGTTGGCGATTTAATACCTTAAAAAAGTTTCAAAACTAACATGAATATTAACATATAAACTAGCTGATCCTGAAAGTTTACTCTATGTACCCCATTGTAAAATCGTTCTTACAGTTCATTTTTAGTTTCTTCTTTATTCTCTTAGGTGACAATTAAAAATTACTTTGGAATATTACACGTGCATTTTTCTTACGTGACAATAGTTCAGATATCTCTATTGAGACCATTAATATTAGTATTTGCCCACATGATTCGTATGAAAGAAAAAGAGTTTGAATAAACTTCTATTACTAACCAAGAACTCAACCCATTCGAATGAACTGTAGTCGAGATATTTCAATTTTTTTATCGTAGTGTTATTTATGCCTCATTCTCTTTATATGAATGAGAATAATTATGTAATATTATTTTTATTATATTGATGTTTACTGTAACCAAAAAGAATTATAGACATATTTAAAGTGAATAGAGATTCTACTATAACAGAAAGGTAGAATGAAACATGCACTAGAATACAAATAATATTTTTGCAAATCAAAGATAGTGCGTTATTAGAGAGAATTTTGCAATGTATTTTTAGTTGTTCATCTTTAGCATGAAATTATTTTCAGCTGCATGTTATAATTAGAAAACAAATTTGACACAGAATAGTCGTGTGTAGGTTTATTAATAGTTTTTAGGACTAAAGAGCTATAATCTCGACAGAAAATGCTTTTATCATCGGAGTGCTTGAAGTCGTGACCGGAGAAAAGAGAAGAACAAATAACCATCGTAACTCAGCTTCTTTCACAAAAGACGACCTACCACTGTGCCGTTCCTCCCCCAGAATCTGTCCCAATCCTATTCAATTCCAAAACGACAGTGTCTACTTATTTTTATTTCAATTTCTGCTACAGATACGCAAATGCTGTTTCAAAGTCTGATTTCTGTTCAAAATTACCACGAACCTGTAAAAAGTTAGCAGAAGATCACTTGTTACTATTAACTATTTAGTAATTATCAAGCTGAATTCAGATACTTGTTCGAATAGATATGTGGATAAAGTTGACTAACCATAATATTATTATTATTTGACAATATAAATTTTACACTTCAATATAAACTGAAGTAAAAACGATTCTGAAAATTGATTGTTTACGTGAATAGTATGCAATCAATGAAGGGAATTGCCACTGCCTGTACAATTCAATTGTCAGTAGAATCGGATGGCGAATTGCAGCAAAAATACAATACAATTTATTGTGACTATATAACATTTCATACCCGTTTTACCGAATGTCGGAATGATCATTCCGACTTATCATTAGAAATCTTGGAGACTTCTTTTTTCTTGAATCAATATCTTCAAAATCAATCTATTCTTTCGTACATTTATCATTTGCAAATTAATAATTCTGAATAAATGCGACATCTATACACGTCTTTGATTATCTATGATATAAATTTATTTATCTACTTGTCATTACTTATCATAATACAATAAAAAAACAAAATTATGTTGTTTATTTAATTAAAAGTAGAAAACATAATTAACTAACATATTAATGCACTTTCACACATCAATTTAATTGTGAAGGTTCACACTCACAAGAAGCAATAGGGCGATCGCTTATTGTTTCTAATTATTTGTTGTTTTTTTCTTTCAATCACATATTTATGTACTCCTGTCATTTATTTTCTCTTTCGCTGAATCACCTTTATATTTAAACCAAATATTGTCTTTTTTCTATCATGAAAAAAAAAGTTATGTATACAATAAGATTTTCTTTTAGATAAAGCCAGACAATTGTCATTTGTTCTTATCGTCGTATTCATGGTAATTTTCTTCTTGTGAAAAAAAATTGATCATGAAGGTGAATATTTTTTTTTTTTTTTGTAATTGTTTTTTGTTTTTTTCCTCACTATTATTGTTAAATATATATTTTTTAGACGACAAACACATATCCATTAAAATTACCACATGTACCTGTAACAAAGCGAGGCCGTCAAACTAATCAATTACAATACATGTCAAAAGTTATATTAAAAGTTTTATTTAAACATGAATTTTCTTGGCCATTTCAAAAACCTGTCAATCCAGTTAAACTTCATTTACCAGTATAATAATTTCTTCGTTTCGTATACAAATATATTTATTTATTATTTTTCGCTATAGAATTACCATAAAATTGTTCGATATCCAATGGATCTTGGAACAATTAAAAAACGACTTGATGCAAATTATTATTATAGTGTTAAAGAATGTATTACAGATGTGAATCTTATGTTTTCAAATTGTTACTTATATAATAAACCAGGCGAAGTAATAGACAGAAAAAACATTATACTAAAAAGAAAAAGAAAATAATTTTTAGGATGTTGTAGTCATGGGAGCTACACTTGAAAACATATTCTATGAAAAATTAGCCGAAATGCCGTCAGATGTAAGAAATTGAATTTTATTTTTAGAAATTTAATTATATGATTTTTTTTCGAAGGAAATTGAAATCGTACCTCCTACATCAAAATCATCTGTATTAAAAAATGTTGGTGATGGAAATTTTACAGCTTCCGTTCTTTCACCATCAACTCCAAGTGAACCGATTAATTCACCATGTATGTCTAGGAGATATTTGACCATTTACTTTCTCGACAGTACTTCAGTTTACTTACTGATAATTATAGATAGTTGAAAATGATAGTGCACATAAGTTAAAGTTCGTTGTTTTTATGTGTTTCAAGTTGTCACAAGGACAGAGTGCATTTCTTTTTTAAATTGTTTGAATTTTCATTCTTCAAGTATTCACAAGAAGTTTAATGTTTCTTAAAAAGTATATTTTTTGATTCTATTCAGTTTGATCTTTTGCTGAAGATCGTATCATTTCTATATGTTGTAAATATTTAGGACAATCAAAATCAAATTGTGCTGATGGTGCATTACTATTCTATAGAAAAATTTCGATAATAAAAACTATATTCTATATTACTTCATTCTTCCGCTAATATCAAAGCAATAAAATTTCGATAAGAATTGTGTGTTATGATAATGACGATAAGACTCATGGTCACCTAAAAGAAAAATAAATGTGGGCAAGTGGTTTTTGAATAGTTTTTGATAGACGTCACTTAGAGAGCTACGGTTTTTCATCATTTGAAAGAAAAGATGACAAATCATTGAATTATATCGAACATTTTTTTGTCATAGGAATCGAGTTAGAGTTTCGAGTATAATTCTTAAATGATAAAATCTAAACATTTGAGCGTTACAAAATTTTGTAAATGTTCTTATGCCGTTTTATGTAAACGGTATCCACTGCCTGTTTGTTTTTTTGAAATAGTCATTTGTGTTATCGTCGCATATCATAATAAACAACTCTTCTTGAAACTTTATTATCATGATATTAATTAAAGAATGATGATATATAAAACATCGTCTTTACTATCAGTGCAAACATAAAAAAAAGCTTTCTATATGGACACTGTCACCACTTTAGGTTTACTCAAATGAGAGTACCATCCAAAGTAATATTCACCCTTTAAGCTCATATTGGATTGTTTTGACTGAATTTTCGACGTGAACTATTGTTTATAAATAGATCGAATAACTCGTAGAATATTCTGAATGTTCTAAAAAACAATTGTTTGTCACAAAAATTGAGTTTACTTGAAAATTCAATATTTGAAGAATTGTTTTTAACCGAAACTTTAAAAATATTTTATATATCATTAAACATATCTATGAACGAAATTTAGTAAAACGATTCTCACTTAGTTATCGGAGAGAACTATTTTAGTTTTTTATTAGTCTTACTAAGACGTTCCTGTCAACTCAATATGAAGTCAAATTGTGTATAACTTCGAATGGTTCTCTGATAAATATTATATTCAAACAAGTTACTTAAAGAAAGATATTCATGCCATGTAAAAATCAATACTGATTCTGGATAATTATAGCTTTTTTCTAGTACAGCTAGGCAATATTTATTATTTTAAAATAATTTTCAGTAGCTTCTTATACAAAATGATCCATAAGAAGTTTATGATCTCACAAGGCATAAAATGTATCTAAAATTTTGAAATCTTTATAAAAACATGAGTAATCAAAGTAACTTTTGCCTTTACTTAATTTTATTTTATAAATGACAGACATTTATATCAGCGATGAGAGAAACGAAAAAGACAGTCACGCATCGCAGGTCGAAAAGTAGACGATCGAATACATTTTTTCAAGGACGAATGTGTTTATACATATGAGTCTGTTACGACATCTTTAATACTACAAGATAGAAAAGAAATTCTTGTTCATATGTTGCATGTCTGAGAGAAAAAAATATGCTCTGTTGCAATGATTTGTTAATAGCGACTTCCGCTTTTCTTTTCTTTTTTCTATTGGTTTAACTTATTCTTCTGAGTTGAAGCTTTTATTGTTTCGTCCACCAAATTTTTACCTTTTCAA